TATTAACAGACGCCCTATCACATATGCACATTGCAACACAAGATGAACATCTGATCAACGGTAGGCCCTATCACATACGCACATTGCAACACAAGATGAACATCAGTTCAACAGTAGGCCCTATCACATATGCACATTGCAACACAAGATGAACATCTGAACAACGGTAGGCACTATCACATATGCACATTGCAACACAAGATGAACATCTGATCAACAGTAGGCCCTATCACATATGCACATTGCAACACAAGATGAACATCTGAACAACGGTAGGCCCTATCACATATGCACATTGCAACACAAGATGAACATCCGATCAACGGTAGGCCCTATCACATATGCACATTGCAACACAAGATGAACATCTGAACAACGGTAGGCACTATCACATATGCACATTGCAACACAAGATAAACATCTGAACAACGGTAGGCACTATCACATATGCACATTGCAACGCAAGATGAACATCTGATCAACAGTAGGCACTATCACATATGCACATTGCAACACAAGATGAACTTCTGATCAACAGTAGGCCCTATCACATGTGCACATTACAACACAAGATGAACATCTGATCAACAGTAGGCCCTATCACATGTGCACATTGCAACACAAGATGAACATCTGATCAACGGTAGGCCCTATCACATATGCACATTGCAACACAAGATGAACATCTGATCAACGGTAGGCACTATCACATATGCACATTGCAACACAAGATGAACATCTGAACAACGGTAGGCACTATCACATATGCACATTGCAACGCAAGATGAACATCTGATCAACAGTAGGCTCTATCACATATGCACATTGCAACACAAGATTAACGTCCGATCAACGGTTGGCCCTATCACATGTGCACATTACAACACGAAATAAACATCTGATTAACAGTAGTCCCCATCCCATAAGCACATTGCAACACAAGATTAACATCTGGCTGTCAGTGAGAAAGATTTACGCAGTGCATGAACAATAAATTTTTAAATATTATAAAATAATAATAATACAAATAACGGTGACACTTAATGTCATTAAATAAAAGCATCCATTTGCATGGACGATTGTGCGTATAGAAGCATCCATTTGCATGGACGATTGTGCGTTTAGAAGCATCCATTTGCATGGACGATTGTGCGTTTAGAGAGTTCTGTTGTTGAAAGAAAAACAAAATATTCTCATTTCCTTCATTAACTGTCTCCCTTCATGTTTTTTTTCCCCTTGCAACCCACTTAATCCACAACCCCCCCCCCCCCCAACAACAACAATCAAATCACTTCATATCGTGTGACGAGTTCGCATGATGGCAGATCTAAGAAGTTCGATAAGCAAATATGATCATATTGGCATGCCAGGCAATTGTTGCACGTCAGTGTTGTTTACTTTTTTTGTGTTGCCAGATTTGCTTTAGTTTTAAATCGGGTTCACCGATATCTAGTGACACACTTTGCCGTTTGAACAGAAAGTGGGGGAAGACAAACCACGATTTTTGTTCACTGTTTGCAGTTGAACGTGGCATAAAGTGCAAACCCGAAAAAGGCCTTTCGCGTAGACTTGTTCGTGGCTGTATTTCAGATTCACACGACGGTGTGGGGGAATGGATGTTTTGATGTTCTGCACAATGGTGCTGCCAGGGTCCATTGTGACGTGGAGCCACGTAAACTAGGTTTGTGGTGTCATTTCCGGACTCTCAAGAGCCAAGACTCTTTTAACAAAACAAACAAAAAATGGTAGGAATTAATGTTAATTGGGATTTTGACACAAACGCTATTTGCACAATTATGGTGACATTATCTGACACTCTGACACAAAAGGTGAAAGGGATGAACAGTTGGAATGAACGTGTGGATCCTTTACTGTATCATGAACTTCTAGATCCTTTACTATATCATGAACTTCTAGATCCTTTACTGTATCATGAACTTCTAGATCCTTTACTATATCATGAACTTCTAGATCCTTTACTGTATCATGAACTTCTAGATCCTTTACTGTATCATGAACTTCTAGATCCTTTACTGTATCATGAACTTCTAGATCCTTTACTATATCATGAACTTCTAGATCCTTTACTGTGTCATAAAGTTTTAGATACTTTACTGTATCATGAACTTCTAGATCCTTTACTATATCATGAACTTCTAGATCCTTTACTGTATCATGAACTTCTAGATCCTTTACTGTATCATGAACTTCTAGATCCTTTACTGTATCATGAACTTCTAGATCCTTTACTGTATCATGAACTTCTAGATCCTTTACTGTATCATGAACTTCTAGATCCTTTACTGTATCATGAACTTCTAGATCCTTTACTGTATCATGAACTTCTAGATCCTTTACTGTATCATGAACTTCTAGATCCTTTACTGTATCATGAACTTATAGATCCTTTACTGTATCATGAACTTATAGATCCTTTACTGTATCATGAACTTCTAGATCCTTTACTGTGTCATAAAGTTGTAGATCCTTTACTGTATCATGAACTTCTAGATCCTTTACTGTGTCATAAAGTTGTAGATCCTTTACTGTATCATGAACTTCTAGATCCTTTACTGTATCATGAACTTCTAGATCCTTTACTGTATCATGAACTTCTAGATCCTTTACTGTATCATGAACTTCTAGATCCTTTACTGTATCATGAACTTCTTGATCCTTTACTGTATCATGAACTTCTTGATCCTTTACTGTGTCATAAAGTTGTAGATCCTTTACTGTGTCATAAAGTTGTAGATCCTTTATTATATCATGAACTTCTTGATCCTTTACTATATCATGAACTTCTAGATCCTTTACTGTATCATGAACTTCTTGATCCTTTACTGTGTCATAAAGTTGTAGATCCTTTACTGTATCATGAACTTCTTGATCCTTTACTGTGTCATAAAGTTGTAGATCCTTTACTATATCATGAACTTCTTGATCCTTTACTGTGTCATAAAGTTGTAGATCCTTTACTGTATCATGAACTTCTAGATCCTTTACTGTATCATGAACTTGTAGATCCTTTACTGTATCATGAACTTGTAGATCCTTTACTGTATCATGAACTTGTAGATCCTTTACTGTGTCATAAAGTTGTAGATCCTTTACTGTATCATGAACTTCTAGATCCTTTACTGTATCATGAACTTGTAGATCCTTTACTGTATCATGAACTTCTAGATCCTTTACTGTATCATGAACTTGTAGATCCTTTACTGTATCATGAACTTCTAGATCCTTTACTGTATCATGAACTTCTAGATCCTTTACTGTATCATGAACTTCTAGATCCTTTACTGTATCATGAACTTGTAGATCCTTTACTGTATCATGAACTTGTAGATCCTTTACTGTATCATGAACTTCTAGATCCTTTACTGTATCATGAACTTCTAGATCCTTTACTGTATCATGAACTTCTAGATCCTTTACTGTATCATGAACTTCTAGATCCTTTACTGTATCATGAACTTGTAGATCCTTTACTGTATCATGAACTTGTAGATCCTTTACTGTGTCATAAAGTTGTAGATCCTTTACTGTATCATGAACTTCTAGATCCTTTACTGTGTCATGAACTTCTAGATCCTTTACGTTATCATGAACTTCTAGATCCTTTACTGTATCATGAACTTCTAGATCCTTTACTGTATCATGAACTTCTAGATCCTTTACTGTATCATGAACTTCTAGATCCTTTACTGTATCATGAACTTCTAGATCCTTTACTGTATCATGAACTTCTAGATCCTTTACTGTATCATGAACTTCTAGATCCTTTACTGTATCATGAACTTGTAGATCCTTTACTGTATCATGAACTTGTAGATCCTTTACTGTGTCATAAAGTTGTAGATCCTTTACTGTATCATGAACTTGTAGATCCTTTACTATATCATGAACTTCTAGATCCTTTACTGTATCATGAACTTCTAGATCCTTTACTGTATCATGAACTTGTAGATCCTTTACTGTGTCATTATCATGATTCAGATTGCCCACATGAAACACTTAGCCTCGAACATAGCTTAAAGTTTTAAATAAAACATTTTTTTTTTATTACCAACGGTTACTTACATTTTGCTGATTTTTTTTGTTTCTGTTTGTTGTTGTTGTTTTGTTTCTGTTTGTTGTTGTTTTTTGTTTTTTTTATGAATTTGCAAGCTACGTGACAGTATGTACACATTGTCCCGAGTCATATTTGATGGTTGCTGTACAAGTTTTGAATAATGACCAAAATGTATACCAAAAAGACACAAACGTCTGCCAAAATAATTCCTTCCTCCAATGAGCGTCATCACCTTGACTGAGTTGAGGGTAGTGTCAGTGGCGTAGCGAGGGGGGTGCGGGGGTCGCGGACCGCACCGGGTGACACCAACCCTAGCTACGCCACTGGGTAGTGTAAAGCACTAACACGCCTGCTGTGCATAATGTGAAGCACACTTCACTACACTAGTTAAATTACAAGTACAATTCAACATAGGGCAACCGGTGGTCGATGTTATGACTTGTTGTTGGTTTTACTTTCCATAGATGGTGCTTTTGTCATTGGACTTAACATCTCCAAAGTGAATCATCACCACAGTCATAACTTTGAACATGAACCTTTCAAAGAACACTGTATAACTTAGTATATGATCATTTTTGTGTTCACATCTCACAATAATGTAAAAAAAAAAATATATTTAAAAAAAAAGTTTTGTTAAAAGCCAATGGAATCACTTTAATAAAAAACAAAACTGCTGAATCTGGACATGCAGGTGTTAAATTTAGTAGAAGGTGAAAATTGATTTATATTCCGGACAAAATAAAGAAGCCAATAGATACATTTAGCACTTTGGGTTTTACTTTTACAATTGTGTTTATTATTATTGGATGACTTTAATACCCCACCCACCCTTTTTTCCCCTAAAATAACACACAAAAACAACTCATCACCCAACATGTGCATCAAGTAAGCTAAATAAAGTAAGAAAATTTCATTATCATGTGTGCAAAATTTTTATTTGTAAAAAAATCCATTAATGTGAATCTGGAATGAACCAAATATGGCTGAAAGTTAAAGCGCTACATTTTTGTTCTGTTCTCTGTTTCCCCTTCAGCAGTCCCCCGCAGTAACTGGCTTGTCTCAACGCGACGCATCACATCTTTTTAACATGATGCACAGAAGAGCCAAGAAACGACCAACTGACAGAGAAAAGTTCACCTTCCAGAAATCAAGACACCAGTCTCGGGGATATAACATCAATTTATTTTAAATGGCGTGCACACACACAAAATGAATAAATGAACAGCAGTAGAAGAAATAACGATTAGCTTATGAAGCAATACAAATTTACTGGCCTTGGTGTAACAAGGTGTGATGTCTAGATGCCTTGGTGTAACACAGGGTGATGTCTAGATGCCTTGGTTGTAACACAGGGTGATGTCTAGATGCCTTGGTGTAACAAGGTGTGATGTCTAGAAGATGCATTGGTGTAACTAGGTGTGATGTCTAGAAGATGCCTTGGTGTAACAAGGTGTGATGTCTAGAAGATGCATTGGTGTAACAAGGTGTGATGTCTGGAAGATGCCTTGGTGTATCAAGGTGTGATGTCTAGAAGATGTCTGGTGTAACACAGCGTGATGTCTAGATGCCTTGGTTGTAACACGGGTGATGTCTAGATGCCTTGGTTGTAACAAGGTGTGATGTCTAGAAGATGCATTGGTGTAACAAGGTGTGATGTCTAGAAGATGCCTTGGTGTACCAAGGTGTTATGTCTAGAAGATGGCTGGTGTAACATATGGTGATGTCTGGAAGATGCCTTGGTGTAACATGGGGTGATGTGGAGATAACAAGAGAATGCCTGAACAAAAGAACAAGAAGAGGAACTTAACTGCACCAATCTCATTTACGGTCAGTGAAAGAATGAACAAGGAGAGATTCTTGGAAAGTTCATGCTAAATAGACTAGGAGATACCATTTTCACTTGGAAAGTAAATCATGCCTAATACAAATTGAAGTACAGGTCAAATATTTTTGGAAAGTAAAGGTTAAATAGAAATGGATAGTACAGGCCAAATATTTTTGGAAAGTATAGACTAAATAGAAAGTACAGGCCAAATTTTCTTGGAAAGTACAGGCCCAATAGACTTGGAAAGTACAGGCCAAATAGAGTTTGAAAGTACAGGACAAATAGACTTGGAAAGTACAGGCTAAATAGACTTGGAAAGTACAGGCCCAATAGACTTGGAAAGTACAGGCCAAATAGAGTTTGAAAGTACAGGACAAATAGACTTGGAAAGTACAGGCTAAATAGACTTGGAAAGTACAGGCTAAATAGACTTAGAAAGTACAGGCTCAATAGACTTGGAAAGTACAGGCTAAAGAGACTTGGCAAGTACATGCTAATCGTGTTGACATAGCTTTTTAAATACACCTCAATTGCACAAATAATGTTATCCAAACGCTAATATTCCCTCCAAACCCCTTTAACACACTCACTGAAATCTGACAGGATCAAATAGCAAAGATGTCTGGAATTTTAACTCGATTTGACCAGAATAAACAGGTAACAATTATAGAATCAATCTACACATCTATGTATCAAGAAATGCTGTTTTTTTCTCCAAGCAATGGCGACCAATGGTATATCCATCTGCTCTTCTTCATTAGTACTACTTAAGCTCGTAGCTACAGTGCACATATATGTTACCCGGTACTCATATTTGTTGTGAAGCAGTATCAGTACTATGCTAATGTTCATACCGGTATATAAAACATTACAACATTAGTGGACTAATTTTATATTAATACATATCCTACAACCTATCCAGAAATGTGTACGTAAGAAATTTGTTCAAAGGGAAAATTGTTACATAGAAGTTTGACGGAAGTTTGTTTAAAGGAAGTTTTTTTCAAACATAAATTTTTTTTTAATGGAAGTTTTTTTAAAATTAAATTTTCAATATGAATATTTTTAATTTTTTTAAACGGAAGTTAAGGGTGATAAACAGGAAAAATGTAAACTATTTCATTAAAAAAAATTATACCATTTCATTTTGAAAATAAATTACCGTTCAAACAAGTTTCTGTTCAAATAAACTTGTGTTGAACAATTATCTTTAGAACAAATTTCCGGTAACCATCTCGCACACTACACGAACATAATGCATCGTGTTGCTTCTGTACTATGCTAATGTTCCAATCTATATCTATGAAATAAATCTACACATTTATATATATATAATATATATTTACGGTAAAGCAGTATCTACTATGCTAATGTTATAATTATAACAAACAGATTTGTACACAGTAGCAGTATAAAGCTAATGCCTCTACTACACATCTAGGTTACTGCATCAATCCTTCATCAGACATGCACTATTTATAGAATGCTGAAACTAGACTGTAATCACAGACTAAACCAAAACAGGACAATGTTAATCATTGGTCCAGTCTTAGGTCGGTGAAACAAAGACATCACAGTATTCCCAGTCAAGATATTTTTT